CACTCAAAATAGTATCAATTTGTGTTTAATTCAATCTCTCATTTTCGTTGAATTGAAGATTGTAGAAAAAAAATCTCGTAAGTGTACAAAAATGTTATTGTTATTATACTTCGAATTTTTTTTATCGATTGAAATAAATGAAATATTGTCACAAAAAATGTATGCGCGACTTCTAAATTTGTTTAAAATCACTATTTGTCTATGTTTTGTAAAATTATCTATCACAACATAATTAGTTGCATTGAAAAAAAGATCCTAGAAAATATTTTCGTTGAACTGAAGATCGTAGAAAAAAAATATGTCTGTGCTAGGCTTACAAAATTTTTTAGCACAATGTCATTTTTAGTTTCTTTGCAAGACTTCAATTTTACACGAATCCACCGGTCATTTCTTGCGCTTGTTGCATAATGACTATTTATTACACTCAAGTGAAATAAAGGCTATATTACTACATCTTCGCAAAAAAATGTGTCTTAAAATTTATTTCAAATGAACTGCCAAAATAAGACTTATGTTAACAAGTACTAGCCCTGCCCACCCGCCTTTTATATTCTCAGAGGGTAGGACTTGGCTAAGATAAGTCTTATTTTGGCAAATGACATATCCTCTGTGAAAATAGGGGCGGGTGGGGGCTAGTATTTGCTCAGATAAGACTGATTTTGGCAAGCGCCATACCTCTGAGAAAATAGAGGGCGGGTGGGCGGGGCTAGTACTTGCTCAGATAAGATTGATTCTGGCAAACGCCATACCCTCTGGGAAAATATGGGGCGGGTGGGCGGGGCTAGCACTCGCTAAGATAAGATTGATTTTGCCCCTATTAAACTTGTTAAATTGCATATTTCCATAATAAGGAGTTAAATCTGATTGGATATTTATTTTTTAACAACTCAGTTATTAATTTTTCTGAGACACCCTGTATAAGCAAATTTAAAAAATATTATTTATATATTAAAAATAAAATAAATCACAAGTACATATATATTTTGCACATTTAAGATAGGATATATGTATTCAGCAATATTTTGAGGTGACGTCATCATTTTTTAGGGGGGGATGAGCAAATACATTTTGATCAAAAATTTACCATGCTTATGATAACTTTAACATCTCCAAGATTTCAAAGGATTCGGTTTTGCAGTTCCTGATTAAATCAATTAAATAAATTCAAATTTTTTTGAGTCAACCTGTTTAAGCTAATTTAAAAAATATGAATGCAGTGATAAATTGAGACGACGTCATCAATTTTTTGGAGGGGATAAGCAAATATACTTTGATTAAAAATGTATTATGCTTACCATAAATTTAAAACATCTACAAGATTTCAAACATTCAGTTTGGCAGATTCAAAATTAAATTGCAAAATGATTTTTTATAATTTTGATTTTTTTCCAAAAATTTTGACGTTTTGGGTAAACAACTGTAATTCCAATTGGAGAAATGACTGAATTTAGGCGTACTGTACAACAAAAAAATTGATAATTGAACAATCGAAAAATTGAAAAATCCCAAAACTGAAACATCGAAAAATTGAAAAATCAAAAACCTGAAAAATCGAACAATTGAAAATCGTAACATCGAGAAATCGATCAAAGTATCGAAAAATAGAAAAACCGGAACAACGAGAAATCGATCTAAATATCAAAAATTTATAAGTCGAGAAGTCGAAAAATCAAGAATTTTAAAAACCGAAAAGTTGTAGGATTGAAAAATTAAAAATTGGAAGACTCGAGAAATTTTAAATTGAAAGATTCAAAAGTTGGAAATAATGTATTTATATAAAATTGAAACATCGAAAAAGTGGAAAATTAAAATAAAAAACCGAAACGAAAAATTAAAAATTAAAAACTCGAGAAACTCAAATCGAGAAAGTGAAAGATTCAAAAGTTGGAAAATTGAAAAACTGAAGAAACAAAAAAATGAAAAATTGAACAATCGATAAATTAAAAAATCGACAAATTCCAAAAAAAACATTGAAAGTTGAAAAATCAAAAACCTGAAAAATCGAGAAACTGGGAAGTTCAGGAATCGAAAATATCGACAAATCTAAAAGTTGAGAAGTCGAAAAAACAAAAAATTTAAAAATCGAAATGTCGAAAAATCAAAAATTTTAAAAACGAAAAGTTGTAGAATCGAAAAATTGAACAACTAAAAATTGAAGAATCGATAAATTAAAAAATCGACGGATCCCAAACATGAAACATCGAAAAGTTGAAAAATCAAAAACCTGAAAAATCGAGAAACTGAAAATATGTATTGAAAAATCTAAAAGTTGAGAAGTCGCAAAAACCAAAAATTTAAAAATCGAAAAGTCGAAAAATCAAAAATTTTAAAAACCGAAAAGTTGTACAATCGAAAAATTGAAAATTTAAAAATTGGAAGACTCGAGATATTTCAAATTGAAAGATTCAAAAGTTGGAAAACATGTATGTATATATAAAATCGGAACATCGAAAAAGTGAAAAATTAAAACAAAAAACCGTAACAAAAAATTAAAAATAATAAACTCGATAAACTCAAATCGAGAAAGTGAAAGATTCAAAAGTTTGAAAATTGAAAAACAGAAGAACCAAAAAAAAATGAAAAATTGAACAATCGATAAATTAAAAAATCGACGAATCCCAAAAATGAAACATCGAAAAGTTGAAAAATCAAAAATCTGAAAAATCGAAAAACCGAGAAGTTGAGGAACCGAAAAGTCCAAAAATTCAAAAATTTAAAAAACCGAAACAAAAAATTAAAAATTAAAAACTCGAGAAACTCAAATCGAGAAAGTGAAAGATTCAAAAGTTGGAAAATTGAAAAACTGAAGAAACAAAAAAATGAAAAACTGAACAATCGATAAATTAAAAAATCCATGGATCCCAAAAATGAAACATCGAAAAGTTGAAAAATCAAAAACCTGAAAAATCGAGAAACCGAGAAGTTGAGGAACCGAAAATATTGAAAAATGTAAAAGTTGTGAAGTCGAAAAATCAAAAAATTTAAAAATAGAAAAATTGAAGAATCGAAAAATTGAAAAATAAAAAATTGCACATTCGAGGAATTTTAAATTGAAAGATTTGGAAAATACATATACATATACCGGGTGTTTGGAAAATGGCGGATTAACTCGTCGCTACGCTCTTAACAATCAACTGGTCAGTCTGGGAAAAATAGTAAAAAAATCCTCCTCATATTTTGGTGGAGTTTTAATGATATTAAAATTGGTTCTTTTGCTACGTTTAACGACTAAACAACACATTCATGTATGTCATTTGCCAAAATCGGTCTTATTTTAGCAGGACTAGCCCCGCCCATCCACCCTCTATTTTCTTAGAGGATTCTCATTTGCCAAAATCAGCCATATCTTAGAAGGTACTAGTAAAAATATGCGGGACTTCTAAATTTGTTTAAAAATCACTATTTGTCTATATTTTACAAAATTAACTATTTATTATGTTGATTACGCAAATTAGAGTTTAATTTAATTTATCATAACATAATTATTTAAAGTGAAAAAAAAATGTAGAAAAAACAAAAAGTATATTGGAAGTCTATAAAAAAATGTTACACTTCACACTTCAGACTTTTTTTAAAATCCACTAAAATAAATGAAGACGATTTTTTAACTGCATTCTTAAAATTTTGGTTTATCTTTCAACGTTATTACTCACATTAATATTTTACATTAAAGATTAGATCGTAGAAAAAAATCTCGTGTAAGCGTACTAAAGTGTTACTCCACAATAAATATATTTATTATAATATATTTGAAAGATCGTAAAAAAAATATTATTTAAGTACACAAAAAATGTGATAAATGAAAACGATTTTTAAACTCTAACCCAAAGACGGGTTTAATTACCGATTAATTTAAACTGTCGCGACAGAAATACTTATTTTCGCTAAATTTAAGGAGACGTAGAAAAAAATATCTGTGTCAGACGCACAAAAAATGTTGCTATACTGCTAATATGGAAACACTTTGTCTTCGTTTAAATTTTTAAATGAAAACGATTTTTAATTGTGTTAATAATGAATGTGACGATGTCACTCATTACCCGATATACGTAAGTAAAGTGGTATTTAACTCACTGTCGTATATGTATTATATAGTATAAAAATATGTATTTAGACCTACCGGAAAAAATTACAGCATGCGAAAGAAATTAAATAACACGTAAATAAAATTTCTATAATCTTACGCAAATATATTCAGATATTGAGAAAGTATATGTATATATGCATGAATATTAACAATCAATGAATAATAATAAAAATAACAGTTATAAAACATATTTTACGTTCCTTTGTAAATATTTAATATGGTAACCTATTGTTGACGAATAATAATTACTAAAACTTTTTCAAATTAGTTTTTTTCACTATTAAAATTAAATTTTTGCGGTTTCGCTATAGAACTTTTTTTATTATTATTTTGATTTGAATTTTTAAATAGCCTTGACTTTTTGTACAGTCGATATGTATATGAATTTGGCGATGTACTCAAAATTACACGGAATTATTTATAGTTCGCTCATGTTTGTATGTAACGGATTTTTCAATCATTTATAATTCAACTAGCAATAAACAATTTGTTTTTAAATTAATTTCACGTCTCGATAACACTGTAAAAACCCCAGTACAGCAAAAAACAACGCCGCTAGGCTTCGATTTCACAACAACCGTATATTACACACATGAACGGCGAGTTTATTCAAATGAAACCATTTGAATTCAATAAAATTTACAATCCATTGTATGCAATTTTAACACACAATTTTATCGGGTAACTAAACCATACCCATGTATTTTTATAAACGTACACAACATCGTAAAATAAAAAAAAAATGTTCTTTCATACATCATAAAACAAAAAAAAATTTTTTTCAAATCGAAAAAAACTACTAACGTTTATGTAATTTTAGCAGCTTCAACATCCATATGTTGTACGCAACTTCAGCCAGATTTAAGTATTTTTTTAATGGTATCTCGAAATTTAAAAAACAATTTCGACTTACCGAGGCGAAGCCCTGCACGAACCGGAGAGCAATCACTAACCCATAATGGGTCTCGCTGGCCCACGGGATGCACAAGCTGCACATAGCCGTCACCAGCTGTGCATACCCAAACACCCTTTTCGTGCCCAATTTCTGCGTCGCCAGCCCCCCGACGACCTGCGAGATGATGTAAGCCCAATAGAACGACGCCAGAATGTAACTCTGCACCCCCGCCGACCACTTCAGGGTGCCCCCATAATCCTGAAAGCCTCAACTCAGCCACCTCGAGACACAAAATCAGCGCCATACCACCGCGGTCGAGCTATTCGAGTCGTCGATCACGAAACAGTACTCCTGGGAGGTGTTCGTTACGGCCTGAGGGGGCTCCTCCACCATGGCCACGATGGCCAGGTTTATGTCGGTGCGCATCATGAAGGAAACGAGGAAGCCGGACCATGATAACAGATAGAGGACGAGCCTGGCAGGTACTTGACCTGAAAATTGGCCGGGTTAATGGGGGCAATTGGGAGCGGAGACACTCACTGAAGACCGAGTAGCACATTTCACTTAACTGGGAAGAGTGATCTGATTGAAGCGCTTATCAGCTGTGATAAAAATGAGTGGTTTTATTGGCGGACAAAGCTGGGAAGTGGTGGCTATTAAATCGTTTGCTCTAAGTGATGCATCGTAATAAGGCACGTGGTCAAGGGCATGCGGGAGTCAATTATTTCTATGGAAATGTTGCGCAAGAGGGCTTCTCACCGAATAGTCTGTAGATGAGGCACTTGGTCACTTCCTCCTTGGGGTAGGAGAGATCGCTGCTGTACACTTTATCTTCAGACATGGCGAGGAGGGTTTACTTGACTGTTCGGAATGTTATTAATCGGAGACTGAAGGAGCTCTGCAAATTAATAAACGAGAGTGATAAACCGGTTTGCGACGCCGCCGGCTACGTTTTGGTTTAATTGGTGACTAATCACCTCTTCAGTATTGTAACATTGCATAATGTTAATTTATTACCATAAACTGTTTCGGCGATTCTCAAGGACACGAGTCAGCGGTTTTCACGATACGATTTAAACAGGATGTAAACACACTTATCGGAAGAGTATAGGCGCAACAATAACTTACACAAACAAGTTTTGTGCTAATACGATTGACATAACCTCAATAAGCGGTTTAAGAAAAATCATAACTGACACTCTTTGTTTGTTACTTACCTCACGACATACGCCCCCACTTAATTGAAGTAAATCAATAATTAAACAATATAGTGCCATTTTGACCTAATATATCGCATTTAATTTCTTCGCTAAAACACCATTTTGTAATTTGACGACTGACGTATGACAGTGGGCGTTACAGGACACTGCGTTATCGACAATCATTAAAATCAAATAGTACACTGACGGACAAAAATAATGTCCGCCGCAGAGGCAATGGTCACAATTGTTGTGTACCACCGAAAGTAGCCGAATTTAACAGTTCCAAAAATAAATAATTTATCACCTTTCTAGAACCTTTCTCCCAAAATGTTCTTCATATAACGTCTACGGAAAATGTGGACGAAATATAGTCCATAAAAGACATGTATTGTATGATATTTATTAATAGTTTTTACTAAAATTAGCAAATTACATATTTGCGCTGATACATTTTATTAAACAATATATATGCCTTATTTTCATGATTCATCATTAACAAAAATTAATTACCAAAAGAGTTTTTTATTGATTTAGATTTGGGGGCTATTTTTGCCTTTCACCCCAGAATTTTTTGTGTATTATTTTAATCAACTTTGCCAAAAGTTGAAATTTTCCGTTCCTTCTTATAAAACTGCTTATAAAATTTTTGGCTTTTTTCCCTTCACTTCCGAAAATCACAGAAAACATTTTCGGTAACATTTCTTCTAAAAGTGCAACTTAGTCGGGAATTTTTAAACAACTTAGTTCAGAGCTCAAATTTTCGATGCCCCCTCCTCTTTTGAAATTTTTGACGTCCTTCCGAGTATTTTCGAAAATTACCTAGAAATATTTTTTGTTGGCTTCGTCTCGTATGAGAAGTCATTTTCGGCTTCATTTCTTCGATAGTTTTTCCAGAATCACCAAAATGAAATGTGACCATTTTTGGGTAATTTAAAAAATTTGATTTTGGAACTGAAAATTTAGAAAAACTTTGGTTGATTTGATTTATATCTCAGAAATGTTTGTGTATCTTTAGACAACTTTGTTAAAACCTCGTATTTTCAGTTCCTCCCACTTTTTTCGCAAAATTGTCCAAAACATACTGCAGAAGTCATTTTCGGCTTCTTTTCTTAAATAGTTTTTCCAGAATCACCAAAATGAAATATCACTATTTTTTGTCAGTTTTAAAAATTTATAACCTAGACTTTTTTCGAGCACTTTGAAAAATTACCTAACCATATTTTTTGTTGATTTCGTCCTACAGAAGTTACAGTCATCAACATTTCTATAAAAACTCTAACCACTTTTCGAGGACTACCAAAATGACATATAGACATTTTGGGTGATTTTAAAAATTTGATTTTGAATTTAAAAATTTATCAAATCTTAGTCTGGGTCCATTAACACCAAAACCTCATATTTTCAATACCCTTATGAATTTTTTGACCTATTTCCAAATATTTTTTAAAATAATAATGGAAGACATAAGTATTTTTATTGATTTCGAGTTGTAGAAGTCATTTTTGGCTTGTCTTCTTCGGTAGTTTTTTTAGAATCACCAAAATGAAATCTGGCCTATTTTGGGTGATTTCGAAAATTTGATTTTGAAACCTAAAATTTCGAAAATCTTGGTCTGGATCGATCAACATCCTATGCTTTTCAAAATAATTCGTCGAGATTTTATCTCAGTATTTTTGTAAATTTTTAGGCAACTTTGTCAAAACCCTCATTTAATGAAACTTTTGACCTATTTTCCGAGCACTTTCGAAAATTACCGAAAAGATTTTTTTGTAGATTTCGACTTGCAGAAGACATTTTCGGAAACATTTCTTCGAAAATTCCAACCACTTTTCCAGAATCACCAAAATGAAACGTGATCATTTTTGAGATATTGTAAAAATTCTACTTTGGAACCAAAAATTTCGAAAATCTTGGTCGAGATTTATATCCCAGAGTTTTTTGTTTATTTTTAGTCAACTTAGCTCAAATTTCCAATCCTTCTTCCTTTATTGAAATATATACGTTTTTGGAGCACTTTCGAAAATTACCTGAAGAAATTTTTTGTTGATTTCGGCTCAGAGAAGTTATTGTCGGCAACATTTCTACAAAAGTTCTAACCACTTTCTGAGAACCAACAAAATGAAATATTGAAATTTTTGGGTTATTGTAAAAATTTGTTTTTGAAACCGAAAATTTCGAAAATCTTAGTTTGGGGTTTGGGAACACGTATTTTTCTAATTAACTGAACCAAATTTTTTATCCCAGAGTTTTTTTTTTGTATTTTTCGGCACCTTAGCCCAATTTTCAATATCCCCCCTTCTTTTTTTTTTAATTTTTATATTTATCAAGGATTTTCGAAAATTACCTAAAGACATATTTTGTAGATTTTGGCTTAGAGAAGTTATTGTTGGCGAAAATTCCAACCACTTTTCGAAGAGCACCAAAATGAAATACAGCCATATTTGATTTATTTAAAAATTAGATTTTGAAATAGAAAATTTCGAAAATCTTGGTCTGGGTCTCTCAAACGCTATATTTTTCGAATTTGCTCTCAATGATATATATCTCGGAATATTTTGTAGATCTTAAGGCAACTTTGGCAAAACTTTATATTTTCAATGATTTTTCAAGCATTTTTGAAAATTATCCAAAACATATTGCAGAAGTATTTTGGACTTCTCTTCTTCGATTGTTTTTCTAGAATCACCAAAATCAAATATGACCATTTTGTGGTAATTTTAAAAATTTGATTTTGAAACCGAAAATTTCGAGAATCTTGGTCTGGGTCCCTTAACACGCGATGTTTTTGTAATTAACTGGTCAAGATTTATGTGCCAGAATTTTTTTTGTGTATTTTTAAGCAACTTCTCTCAAATTTTTAATACACCCCTGCCCTTTTTGAAGTTGATCCGTTTTTCGAGCACTTTCGAAAATTACCTAAAGGCATTTCTCGTTGATTTCGGTCTAGAAAAGTTATCGCCACCAACATTTCTTAGAAAATTCCAACCAGTTTTCCAGAATCACCAAAATGAAGTATAACCATTTTTGGATTATTTTAAAAACTTGATTTTCAAACTGACAATTCCGAAAATCCTGGTCTGGGTCTATCAACAAACTATATTTTTCGAATTAACTCGTAGAGATTTTATTTCAGAATTTTTTGTGTATTTTTAACCAACTTTGCAAAACCTCCAATTTTCAATACCTCATAAAATTTTTGACTTTTTTCCAAGCATTTTTGAAAATAATCGAAAACATGTTTTTGTATGTCAATATTTTTATCCGATTTTTTGTGAACTTTTAGGCAACTTTACCAAACTTTCAATAACTTCATTTAATGAAATATTTGACCTTTTTTCGAGCACTTTTTTGCATTGATTTCAACTTGCAGAAATCATTGTCAGCAACATTTTCGACTTCTCTTCTTCGATAAATTTTCCAGAATTATCAAAATGAAATTACCATTTTTGGGTTGGTAATAATATTAAAAATTTTTTTTGAAATCGAAAATTTTGAAAATCTTGGTCTTGGGTTTGAGAACACGTTGTTTTTCTAGTGCTATGTTTTTCTAATTAACAGGTCAGGATTAAATATCAGAGTTTTTTTTTATTTTTGGGCACTTTCGCTAAAATTTTGAATCTTTCCTTTCCCTTTTTGAAATTATTTATGTTTGTCAAGCACTTCGAAAATTACCTTAAGACATTTTTTGTTGATTTTGGCTTAGAAAAATTGTCGGAAACATTTCTTGGAAAATTCCGACAACTTTTCGAGAATCACCAAAATGAAATACAGCTATTTTTGGGTTTTTTAAAAATTTCGAAAATTTTGATCTGGGCCCATCAACAATTTTTGAATGTTTTTTTCAAACACTTTGTAAAAAAAATTATACAAAACATGTTTCTGTTGATTTCGTCTTGCAGAAGTCATTTTTGATTTATCTTCTTTGATAGTTTTTCCAGAACTACCAAAATGAAATGTGGCCATTTTTGTGCAGGTAATTTCAAAAAATTAGTTTTGAAACCGAAAATTCCGAAAATCGTTTTCGATACTTCCCCTTCTTTTTTGAATTTTTTTGTGTTTGTCAAGGACTTTCGAAAACTGCCTAAAGATATTTTTTGTTGATTTTGGCTTAAAGAAGTTATCGGAAACATTTCTCTGGAAATTCCAACCACTTCTCGAGAACCATCAAAATGAAACACACAGTTGTTTTAATATTTTAAAAATTTTATATTGAAACTGAAAATTTGGAAAATCTTGGTCTGAGGCCATCAACACGCTATGTTTTTCGAATCAACTCTTTGAGATTTTATCTCAGAATTTTTTGTGTATTTTAGGGCAAACTTGCCAAATTTCAAATTTTTAATACGTTTTTCCGAGCATTTTCGAAAATTACCAAAAAGATTTTTTTGTTTATTTTGACTTGCAGAACTCATTTTCGGCTTGTCTTCTTCGATAGTTTTTCCACTGAAAATTTCGAAAATCTTGCTCTAGATCCATCAAAACGCTATGTTTTGCTAATTAACTGCTCGAGATTTATATCCCAGAGTTTTTTGTGTATTTTTAGGCAACATAATTTTCAATACCGTCACTACTTTTTTGAAATTTTTACGTTTTTAGAACAATTTCGAAAATTACTTAAATACATTTTTTGTTGATTTCGGTCTAGAGAAGTTATTGTCTGTTACTTTCGACAAAAATTGCAAGCACTTTTCGGGAACCACCAAAATGAAATATACGGTTATTTTACAAATTTTTATTTTGAAACTGAAAATTTCCAAAATTTTGTTCTGACTACATCACCAGTTTGTGAATTTTTTGATCTTTTTAAATTATCCAAAACATGTTTTTGTTGATTTCCTCTAGCAGAAGCCATTTTCGACATCACTTTTTATATATTTTTGCCAGAATTACCAAAATGAAACATGGACATTTTTTAAATGATTGAGGTTTATATTCCAGAGTTTTTTTTTTGTATTTTAAGGCAACTTAGCTAAAATTTTCAGTCCCTTTCCTTCTTTTTCTAAATTTTTTATGTTTGTTAAACATTTTCGAAAATTACCTAAACACTTTTTGTCGATTTTTAGACAACTTTGCTAAACTTCAAATTTGAAATCTTTGATCTTTTTTAGAGCAATTTCGAAAATTACGGAAACATTTTTGACGATTTGGACTTTCCGAAGTTATTTTCGGCAAACCATTTCTTCGAAAATTCCAATCACTCTTCCAGAATCACCAAAATGAAACGTGGCCATTTTTAAGGTTTTGTAAAAATTTTACTTTAAAATAGAAAATATCCAGATTTTCAATATTCTCCGCTTTTGCGAGCACTTTTGAAAATTACCGACATACATTTTTTGTCAATTTCTGCTTAGAGAAGTTATTGCAGCAACATTTCTTCGAAAATTCTGACGACTTTTCCAGAATCACCAGAATGAAATATAGTCATTTTTGAGTTATTTTAAAAATTCGATTTTTAAACTGAAAATTTCCAAAATTTTGTTCTGGTTACATCAACAATTTGTGAATTTTTTGATCTGTTCTCAAGTACTTTTTAAATTATCCAAAACATGTTTTTGTTGATTTCCACTTGCAGATGCCATTTTCGACTTCACTTTTAATATATTTTTTCCAGAATTACCAAAATGAAACATGGACATTTTTTAAATGATTGGGGTTTATATTCCAGAGTTTTTTTTTTTTTTTTTGTATTTTAAGGCAACTTAGCTAAAATTTTCAGTCCCTTTCCTTCTTTTTCTAAATTTTTTATGTTTGTTAAACATTTTCGAAAATTACCTAAACACACTTTTTGTTGATTTTGGCTTGGAAAAGTTATTGTTGGCAACATTTCTCTAAAAATTCCACCCTCTTTAAGGGAACCAGCAAAATAAAATACATACATTTTTGGATTATTTAAAAAATTTTATATGAAAACTGAAAATTTCGAAAATTTTGGCCTGGGTCCATAAACACGCTATGTTTTTCGAATGAACTCGTCGAGATTTTATCCCAGAATTTTTTTTAGATTTTTAGACAACTTTGTCAAACTTCAAATTTGAAATTTTTGACCTTTTTTAGAGCAATTTCGAAAATTACGGAAACATTTTTGACGATTTCGACTTTCCGAAGTCATTTTCGGCAAAACATTTCTCCGAAAATTCCAACCACTTTTCCAGAATCACCAAAATGAAACGTGGCCATTTTTAAGATTTTGTAAAAATTTTACTTTAAAATCGAAAATATTCAGATTTTCAATAATCTCCGTTTTTGCGAGCACTTTTGAAAATTACTGAAAGACATTTATTGTCGATCTCTGCTTAGAGAAGTTATTGCAGCAAAATTTCTTCGAAAATTCTGACCTCTTTTCGAGAATCACCAAAATGAAATATAGTCATTTTTGACTTATTTTAAAAATTCGATTTTTAAACTGAAAATTTCCAAAATTTTGTTCTGGCTACATCAACAATTTGTGAATTTTTTGACCTTTTCTCAAGCACTTTTTAAATTATCCAAAACGTGTTTCTGTTGATTTTCACTTGCAGAAGCCATTTTCGACTTCACTTTTTATATATTTTTTCCAGAATTACCAAAATGAAATATGGACATTTTTTTAAATGATCCAGGTTTATATTCCAGAGTTTTTTTTGTATATTTAGGCACCTTAGCTAAAATTTTCAGTCCCTTTCCTTCTTTTTTTAAATTTTTTCATGTTTGTCAAGCATTTTCGAAAATTACCTAAAGACACTTTTTGTTGATTTTAGCTTAGAAAAGTTATTGTTGGGAATATTTCTTTGAAAATTCCAACCGCTTTTCGGGAACCTGCAAAATGAAATACAGACATTCTTGGATTATTTTAAAAATCTAATACTGAAGCCGAAAATTTCAAAAATTTTGGCTTATGTCCATCAATACGCTGTGTTTTTCGAATGAGATTTTATCCCAGAATTTTTGTGAACTTTTAGGGAACTTTGCCATACCTCAAATTTTCAATACCTTACCCTATGAAATTTTTGACCTTTTTCTTGAGTATTTGGACTTGCCGCAGTCATTTTCGGCAAAACATTAATTTTTTCGAAAATTCCAACCATTTTTCCAGAACCACCAAAATGAAATGTGGCCATTTTTGAGATATTGAAAAAAATTTATTTTGAAATCGAAAATTTCGAAAATCTTGGTCTGAGTTTATCAACACGCTATGTTTTTGGAATTAACTCGCTGAGATTTATATCCCAGAATTTCTTGTGAATTTTTTAGGCAAACTCAAATTTTCAATACATCTGCCTTCCTCTTTTGAAATTTTTGACGTTTTTCTTTCGAAAATTACCTACCTAAAGTTTTTTTTTCATTTGGACTTAGAGAACTTACTGTCGGCAACATGTCAGAAAATTCCAACCTGTTTTCGGGAACCGCCAAAATAAAATTTTTGGGTTATTTTAAAAATTTGATACTGAAACTGAAAATTTCGAAAATTTTGGTCTGGTTCCACCAAACGCTATGTTTTTCGAACGAATTCGTTGTGATTTTATTCCACAATTTTTTGTAAATTTTTATACCTTCACCTATTGAAATTTTTGACCCTTTTCAGAGCAATTTCGAAAATTACGGAAACATTTTTTGAGGATTTCGACTTTTCTAAGTTATTTTCGGCAAAATATTTCTTAGCAAATTCCAAACACTTTTCCAGAATTACCAAAATGAAACATGGCCATTTTTAAGATACTGTAAAAATTTTACTTTAGAACCCAAACTTTTCAGATTTTCAATACTCTCCGTCTTTGCGAGCAGTTTCGAAAATTACCGAAAAACAGTTTTTGTCGATTTCTGCTTAGAGAAGATATTGCAGCAACATTTTTTCGACAATTCCGACCACTTTTGGACAATCACCAAAATGAAATATAGCCATTTTTGGGTTATTTTAAAAATTCGATTTTTAAGCTGAAAATTTCGTTCTGGCTACATCAATAATTTGTGAATTTTTTTATCTTTTCTTAAGCATTTTCCAAAATTATCCAAAACATGTTTTCATTGATTTGACTTACAGAAGTCATTTTCGACTTCATTTCTTAGATATTTTTTCCAGAATTACCAAAATGAAATATGGCCATTTTTTAAATGATCGAGGTTTATATTTCAGAGTTTTTTTTGTATTTTTAGTCACCTTATCTAAAATTTTCAGTCCATTTCCTTCCTTTTTTAAAATTTTTTATATTTGTCAAACATTTTCGAAAATTAACAAAAGACATTTTTTGTTGATTTTGGCTTAGACAAGTTTTGGTCGGCAACATCTCTCCGAAAATTCCAACCACTTTTCGAGAACCACCAAAATTAAATACAGACATTTTTGGATTATTTTAAAAATCTAATACTGAAACCGAAAAGTTCAAAAAATTTGGTTTGTGTCCATCAACACGCTGTGTTTTTCGAATGAGATTTTATCCCAAATTTTTTGTGAACTTTTAGACAACTTTGCCATACTCAAATTTTCAATACCTTAACCTACAGAAATTTTTGACCTTTTTCCGAGAAATTTTGAAAATTACTGAAAACATTTCTTGAGTATTTCGACTTGCCACAGTCATTTTCGACAAAATATTAAGTTCTTCGAAAATTCCAACCACTTTTCCAGAATCGCCAAAATGAAACGTGGCCTTTTTTGGGATATTGAAAAAAAAAAAAAATTTGAAATCGAAAATTTTGAAAATCTTGGTCTAACTTCATCAACACGCTATATTTTTGGAATTAACTCGCTGAGATTTATATCCCAGAATTTTTTATGTATGTATATATTTTTCAATATATCTGCCTTCCTTTTTTGAATTTTTGACGTTTTTCTTTCGAAAATTACCTACTTAAAGTTTTTTTTTTCATTTGGACTTGGAGAAGTTATTGTCGGCAACATGTCAAAAAATTCCAACCAGTTTTTGAGGAACTCTAAAGTGAAATTTAGCCATTTTTGGGTTATTTTAAAACTGGAAATTTTTAAAATCTGTGTAATGTAATAATATTGCTGGAGAGTGATATTTACGAAAACAAGTCATTTAAATTCAATCTGCCAAAAATTTTACCGACTTGAAACGTTTCATATCTGATAAAATATTGATTTACTCGAAACAGTTGTCATTTGATTGAATTATTGCTATTACTTAAGTCTATAAATGTAAAATCAATAGTTACTTAAAAATATACACCTAGGTTAATTTATTATGATAACTTTAAGCATTTTGAGATTCTGGAACGATTCGGGTACTTTCGGCAGTCTATATATATTTTTTGGCCGTCAGTGTATGCAAGGACGCCACCAAAAAGGAAACGATACATTTAAGCAAAGCTAAAATTCATAGGAAAGATGGCGCCACCCTATAGTATAAAATAAAGCATTAAATTTTGAAAAATGCGACGACATGCAAAGGTCCAGAGGCAATTTTAGTAGAAACAAATGTCTGAAATTCATTTCTGACCCGAAACTAAAAAAATTGGTAGCATATTGTGCTTCACCAACTCCAATAATAAAAAAAAAAATCAACGCACATTTACAGAATACAATTTATTTAATTTAAATATAAAATAACAGTACCACTACCATTTCTTCCATTCCATCCCATCAGGCGGCTTCACCGCCACCTTTTCCTTAGAAATCTCGTCCCAATTGGTGCTAAGAACAGTCCCTCCACTCTCCATCTACAAACCCTACTTAAGCCACACTCTCACCCAATCAAATCACTTACATAACTCTTATTCATAGCCCTCTTAACCTCGTCGCTGCCCTTTCCGTAAATCTCCTGAAACAACTTATTAAGCGCCTCCTCGCCCTCAGGCTTCTCTTTCGCCTCCTGCTCCTTCATCTCCTTCTCCACAGCCGACCAGTCTTTGCCCTTTTTCGACGTGGGGTAGGCCGGCGGCCCGCTCGCTTCAGGCACCTCCTGTGGGATTGCCTTGGGGATGTTTTTCTCCTCGCCTTCGAGTTTGCTCCATCGGATGCCTTCGCGCTTCTGCAGCTTCACCTCGATCTGTCAAAACCACAACTGATTATCCGCAATGGGAGGGATTCGTACTTACCTTTGAAGGGGTGATTTTGTACGAGCATTGTTCGGGGACGATTTCGTGGGAGAGGTTGAACTTAACCTGGATGTCCTCTTCGTCGGGGAATTTGACGTCGAGGTGAACACAAGATGTAGAGAAGTTTGTAGTTAGATTGTCGTTTTTTACGTTTTTGATGAGTACGGTTATTACGACGGCCGTTTCGGTTTGGTACCAGTCGTGCTTTACTTGCACTTTTGGCTAAAAATAAATTGTTTTAACCTTACTTTTTGGGTGAGGGGGGTTTTGTTACTTGTTCTGTGTGTTCGGCTTCGGCCATTTTTTCAAATATGATTAAATGCGGTTGAGTTTGATGTTACGGTTGGTTATTTTTTATGAATAAATGTAGATTTGTACTCACGAGAGAATAAATATAAACATTCTAGAAATTCGGAAAGTCTGGCAGATGACAGGTTTGACGCTTGACGTTTACAGGGGTGTATAAAGAGTTGCCTAACTTTAGTTAATGCGTAAATGTACAGTACGACCTATTTGTATAGCCGATGAGTAAATTTAATATTATATACAGTATGATGCGGTTGCTTATATAAATAAAAGATATAATTCAAAATAAAAAGTAGCAAAAAATGAAGAAAAACCTTCCATCAATAGAGTGTTTCCACTTTACAACTATATCGTTTTATTTGTTGTTGTTTATTATTTTGTTATCTTATCTTTTTTGACCTATCTACAGATCTGATAACATTCGGAAAATAGTAAATAGTATTTAAATATAAGGTTAACAAAATTATCAGCAATTAAAATTAATTTTGTAAAAAATCCATTTCCAAGGATGATTCAGTTATAATTTATGTTGCTCGCCCGATATATTTATACATAAATATAATATAAATAATGGAGAAAAAATCGAGGAATGAGCACAGATATCGGATAAACGTAAACACGGATAGGAGAATAACCTCGGAAGAGACGATCTGGGTTATATCCTACCGCCGTGAAGGAAGTTACAGACAAAGAGGTAATGAGTAGTGAAGGGGCAGAAAGAAAGAAAAGGGGTAGAGAAGTCGCCGAAAGATATATAGAGATGGAGGAGGTCAAGGACATGATCACCGAACTTGCGACACAAATCAGAGATGATATGAGAGAAAGTAATAAACAATTATTGAAAGAATGTAATACACAGCTTAAAAAGAGCTTAAACAGAAGCAAAATCAAGAAGTTAGAGATAAGCATGAAGAATGGAAGCGAGCTAAGGAGGAAATGGGAAAGAGAGTGGGTGAAGTAGAAAGTCAACTAGACCGAATTGCGAGAAAAGAGAAGAAACAAAGTAGTGATGATGGGATTGGAAATAGGAACAGGAGAGCAGAAGCAGATAATTGAAAAGATGACAAAATTTTTAGAAGAGAAAGCCAAAGCAAAGAGTAAAGTTAAAAGCTCGTACAAAATTTCAGAGAAAGTTTATGTAATGGAATTCGAAAATAGAGAAGAAAAAATCAATGTAATGAAAAGCAAGAACTTAAAAGGGTCGCCAATTTACATAAATGATGATTTGACGAAAACGCAAAGAAAAATTCAAATCAAAATAAAAGAAGAGGCAATAAAAGAAAGAAATAAGGGAAACGTGGTTAGAATGGGATATAAAAAGTTAACTGTAGATGGCAGAAATTTTGAATGGAATGAAGAAGAGGGTAAACTCAAGAAGGTAGAAAATTTTTAGCAAAGAGACAAAAGAAAAGGAAGAAAAGGAGGAAAAATGGGAGGAAACAAGGCAAGAGAATAATGGATGCAGGTAGGGAAATCGGAAAAAGAGAAACTGGTACAAAATTAGGAGAAAAAGGGGTGAAGGTACTATTTTGGAATGTCCAAGGGTTGCGAAAAAAGGGAAAATGAGTTTTGGGACTACGTATGAAAATTTAATGTGGTGGGGCTAGTAGAAACATGGGTGCAAAGAGAAAACTGGGAGAAATTTGAAGAGACACTATCACAAGAATATGTGTGGGAGTGTCAAGGGGCGACAAAGGAAAAGAAAAAGGGGAGAGCAAGCGGAGGAATAGTAATGGGAATTAGAAAAGAAATGCAAGAATTGGAAAAGGAAAGTAATAATAAAAACGGACTAATGAAGAAAGTAATACAGCTGGATAACAATCGATGGGAAAGAATAATCGTTTAAAATGGAGAAAACCAAGATAAACATAGAAAAGAAAACAAAAGAAAAAGGAGATGAAAAAATACTTACAGCAGGGGATTTTAACACAAGACTGGACGATAAGGGGACAAGAATAATAGATAAAGAAAAGGGAGAGAAAAGAGGATCAAAAGACAAAGCAAATAACAAAGAAGGGAACATATTGTGGAAGATAATAGAAGAAATGGGATGGGAAATTTTCAATGGAAACAAGGAAGGAGATGAAGAAGGAGAATGGACGTACGTAGGCGCTAGGCGAGAATCAATTATAGACTATGGGATTGTCAACGAAGAGGCGTGGGAACAAAACACGTACTACAACACCGAAGACACATTAATCAAAACTGTAAACAACAATTTTAAATTTCACATTAATTTCCACAGTGAAATTGAAGATCAGTTTAAATTAACTTTCGAAAGATGTTCTAAATTAAAACCAAATGATAGACATTCACTTCTCCGCCAGTGTTATTCTAAAAAGTTTCTAGCAATTGTAGAAATAATGAACAAATGAACTCCTTCATTTTACCAAAATATCTCACAAACTCGATCTCTTTTGAAAAACTTCATACACTTATCTACTAATTAACACATGTAAAGATAACATAATAAATACAAACACCAATCATATACCCTCCACCCCTCATTGGGAAACACGGTTAAATTATAAAATTAATAACATTAGAAAACAACTAGGTCAAATAACACAGTACCTTGGAGGAGTTAAAACACCACATATCATGACATGTATGCATTCGATACTGACCAACAATAATTTTCATCAAACTGATTACGATGAATACAACACAACACTATCCCAAATTAAAGATACCCTATTACAAAAGCTTTGCTTATATAGCAAAAGACTTAAAAGATACCTGAATCTGGAAATGGTGCATCGTCCCAAAACGATGATCTAGACGGCGTAAAAACCATTCTGAACGGGCTTGAGATTGCGGACAAGGATAAAATTCATACGTTGCGTCTTGGCCGCCGAGGTGCAAATTCTAGACCGTTAAAGATATTTCTTGGTAGCCGCAGCAATGCCCTTCTGGTCCTGAAGAATAAAACTTACATTTCAGAAAAAAACTCCGGTATAAAGATAACGAATGACGAAACACCCATGCAACGCGAGTACAAAGCTAAACTTCGGGCAGAACTTGAACAACGGAAAACGGCCGGTGAAGAAAATTTAACTATCCGCTATGTCAAAGGTAAACCGAAAATTGTCCCATTGTCACCTCTGTACAAAAAACAAACAAAAAACTAAATTCTAATCTGTTCACCTTCTTTGAGCTTACGGTTTATTACACAAATATAGCATCCCTCTTGGCCAAATTTGACGAGTTTCTCTTGTCAGTTTCCAATTTATCTCCTACGTTTATTCTCATAACGGAGTCATATCTTAATTCCTTTATTCCTGATTCTATAATAAATATCCCTGGTTATTCGATATATAGGAGTGACCGCACTTACTGCAAAGGTGGTGGAGTTTGCATTTATGTCTTAAACACTTTAAATAAAATCCCAATAGATGTCGATCTTTTGGATGAATATTCTACAATTCACATAGAATCCTTATGGCTAAAAATTACAATCTCTAATATCACACTCCATCTGGCTTCCATATATCGTTCACCTTCAACATCATTTGATAATGATTTATCATTAATTCAGGCTCTAACACTTGCCAGTGTAAACCTTAATAATTTGTGGAGATTTCAACTTTCCAACGCTCAATTGGCGCGTGCCCCTCCTAATGGATGGTAATACTCAGGCGGCAAACTTTATGAACTTTTATCTGAATTCTAATCTGCACCAACTAATACTTGAACCGACTCGATTCAGAAATAATGACAGACCTTCAACTCTGGATTTAATATTTACGAATGATCGTCAGCTTGTTTCGACTACAGAATATTTTCCTCCAATAGGTATAAGCGATCATGTCGTTCTTCTTTCAAAGTTACAATTCCTTCTAGATAGCAGTCATGGTAGAACTATATGTAAAAAAATGTACCGTCTAGCTGATTTTGAAGCTATAAAAACCTACTTATCTGGGTCTGAACTGGATTCAATTAACTTCAATATGTCTCTTGAAATCATGTACAATAATCTCGAGCGATTGTTAAACGTTTCAGTTGAACGCTTTGTTCCAGTTCGTAACATCAGAATTAGGGACAAACCATGGATTTCTAACACCATTAAATATCTAATTCGAGAAAAGAAAAAAATGTGGCTTCAATATAGGCGCAGTAATGACAACGAACATTATTCGCAATATCGTGCGGTTTGTAATAAACTTAAGACAGCAATTCGATCTTCAAAATCTAGCTACGAGATGAATCTTGCAACTAAAAGCAGCAAGGAATTCTTCAAATATATTAACAAAACCCTAACAAGTAAAGTACGTACACTTCGTTTAAGATCAGCTGATGGTGATGTATTGACATTACCATCAGCCATCGCTGATTCGTTTGCCATTGAATTCGAACATAATTACGTGTCTGAACCGCCCGGTGCTTTGCCTTCTTTATGTCCAAATACCCGGTCAATTAACAATATTCATACTGTTATTTTTACGGAACCAGAAGTTTTGAGAGTACTCCAGTCCTTTAAATTAGACTCATGTCCTGGACCAGACGGTTTTCATCCTATATTACTGAATAAATGTGCTTCAGTTCTATCTAAGCCAATCGCTGCAATAATGCAACAGTCACTTTCTGTAGGTTCTGTACCAAATGTTTGGAGGTCTGCTACAGTTATTCCAGTCTACAAAAAAGGTGATAAGCTTAATCCAGCAAACTTTCGACCTATTAGTTTAACATCGTTGCTTTGTAGATCTATGGAAAAAATAATTAGCCAACAACTGACTGAGTTTTGTGTGAACAATAATATCCTCAAGCCCAACCAGCATGGTTTCCTTCCCGGTAGATCTACAATATCTAACCTTCTAGAGTGCCTTAACAAGTGGACCAAGGCTGTAGACAATAATCAGCCAATAGACATTGTTTATCTTGACTTTAAAAAAGCATTCGACCGTGTTCCTATTCGCAGATTACTACTAAAACTGGAACATTATGGTGTTCGCGGTGACTTACTGAGGTGGATAGCGGAATTTCTTCAAAATCGTACCTTTACAGTTAAGATTCTCACTGAACATTCACAAGCTACACCGGTTCTTAGCGGTGTTCCACAAGGGTCCGTGCTTGGACCCATCTTATTCAATATCTATGTTAGTGACCTTGCCTCCTTGTTTAACTGTTCATCCGCGTTGTTTGCTGACGATACA